ATACACATTAATAAAATCGCAACAAATTTTGTAAGTGCGTTCTAAATTATTTTTGTATTAAAGCGATAAAAATTATTCTTATATAATCTGTGTACCAAAAAAACAGATATACCCATACAAAGTAACATAGTCTGTAAACTCGTATTATCTGTGGTCTCAGTAATCCATTAATCCAGCACACGGCGAAAACAATGCTAAAAAGAGCTAATTCTGGGACGCTGTAGCGTTGGGGACGCATTAATCAAAATTAAAAGTGGATTAGACGACCACGTGGAAAATCGGTTGTTTTAAGGTTATGTTCTGACTTACAAATTTACCTACAGTATTGTGTATAATTATTTTGGCGTAGTTTTTGGGTATTCATGGAGCCAAATCTACATAATGTGTAGGTACTTATATGGTTAAGTATTTGACTGCCGCTACACTTAAATGGTCTAATATTATCTAGCAATATGTTAAGTGAGGTTCTGGATTCGAATCCCGTTTAATCAATACACATATATTCAGTCAGACTGTATCCTTCATATCAATACAGAAATATGTCTACCCCACGTTAATGCCACTACCACATAGAAGAAATGGGATTTCACTTAATAAACAGTTAGTCACATTAAGTATACTTTTAGTGTACCCATTTTTTTTATTCTTACATTTAATAATTATTATTCTTCTTTAGAGACAATTCAGATGTAAAGTAGATAGAAACAAGTCTAACTGTTGTAATATTCATCGCGGACGCAGTGCAAAACAAAAGAAGAAATACAAGCAACACATGGGTACAGATAATGCGATAACCAGCTCCCGTCTCCCTGGTGACAATCCGCGCCCGGGGCAAGTAGGTTTTTAGTGCGCTTTATTATTTTATGTAAATCATAAGTCCCGAAATGAAATGATAACAGTGGGCCATATTTTTTCAACGCTCTCCGCTTCAGGACTACTTGAATACACTAGATTTGTTTTAACGCGACCTGAGGTACTACTGAGGGGAGTTGTTACTGTTGGATTTGAGGCCTGTCTGTGAAAGTATCTTTAGATCCTACGTGGGTATATGTTACCTTAAGATTGCAATTTTAGTTTTAGTCATAAAGGCACTATGGTGAAAACAACAGCCAAAAATGTTGTAACAAAGCGAGTATATAAATAGCGCGCTGCTTACTTGTAAACGTGTCTATTGTCGGTAGATTTCTATTTATTGAAGCGAAATTAGGAAGCATTTGTGATCTGACGGGACGCGACAAGCTCGCTGTTTCGTTGAACTACGTCCTATGAGAATCGAGGCAACATAATTATCCAATTGTGAGAACCTAATTGCTTATATCAACGTGGTGCTTTGGTAGTGGTGCAAAAATACAGTAATATAAAAACTCATAAATAAGTATGTCAAATTTACAATACGTATAGTAAACGTACGATGTAGTAGTACTCGTGTAGATCTTTTTCATTAAATCGTCGACGAAAGCTGATGTTCCAATAAATTCAAATTTAGAATGAGCCCTCGCCGCAAGTTGAAGCGGTAGTCGGCACGTTCGCCATTTTATGTCGCGTTTTTACGATGTAGCCGATAACGTTTACGAGGCGCGCTGAGTGGCGTCGCCGCGGCTCGCCCCGACTGATTGCATGTGGGGTGCTAGAGATGTGACCGCCAATAAAATTATCGTACGGATAGGGTCGAGGTGACACCACTACACTACGATAGGCTCATGGCTAAGTTTTCTTACGCCAGGATTTAATATTCGAAATGTTTCACCGATTAGTATTATCTACAGGCGGGGAATTACTGCGTCTTCTGTGCCCTATCCGAATTAAACGAACTGACTTGACTATTGATCCACGAAGTCTCTATTTATTAATAACTACTAATAACGAAATTTGCTATAAAGCATCTAAAATATAAGTAAAAATAAATTTTAAATAAGTTCAACAAAATACATTTTACGTTTTAAACCGTTAAAAGTGTTTTGTATGAATTGGTACTGCTCGCGTAAACTATAGAAAGTGCTTTATTTTATGTTAAAGAAGAGTTTCATACTTTTTTTAAAGTCAATTTTCAAAGTTTCTTTATTCGTTTGTCAAAATAGCGGAATTTTCTTTATAATTCTTTCCACCACAATTTAATTTGGAAGCCGACCACCCGACCACATTGAATACGCTTCGTAGGACTTTTGATATATATTCCTTTGATGTTAAGATGTATTTTTATTATTGGTCCATTCAATTGGCTTTCCTTAAATAACAGTTATATTCAATATAATATTTCTGAATTGTACCAATTCTTACGGGCTTGTTGGTGGAATGGTAGGAATGTTAGTCGCGGCCTCGACAAAATTCCTAATTAATAATTGTGTTTACTCAAAACACTTAAAGGAAAAAATTACTTCGAATTTTCCGTTACTATGATATCGTAGAATCCACGTGATAAACAAGATATATAAGCTACGGATAGGATGATTCTTAGCTCGTTAAGTATCTATTCTTGTTGGAGTCTTAAGGAGCGAGGGGTCACCGTCTTTACTCGTAACAACGGAAGCTTTCAACCTTGTAAGAATGCGTTCGCGACAGTGATGTATCCTATAGTTTAAACCCGTACGTAAAATTTTCATATATAACTTGTAAATAAAATTGATAAGCAAAATCAAATACACGTGTTTGTCCCAAACCATAAGATCGGCCCTTGTAATTGAGAATTAGTTCACTGTGAAAAACTATCAATCAAGAAGCCGCATTGAAATACAAATATTATAGTTTGATATGTGACATAATTGGATTAGATATTTCATTAATTGTAATAAAGTCTAAGGGCATCAATTTTAAGCGGCATTTAGACCCGGTCATCCTTGGGAAGAAGATTCAACTCGTTCCTATAATAAAAGAGTGTGATTATGTGTGTACGTATGTTATGGTTTTACTATCAATCTTAGACTTTGCTATATAAATTAATCTTACAAACTTTACGTTTCTTCTACTTTAACCGGGCCAGTCCGAAAACTAGCGCTGCTAAGTGTGACAAGTATCTGGTTTAAAAAACAGCTGGGCTGGATTTTGAATTTAATTTCAATTTCTGAACTTTAAATAAAAACATTAAGCTGGCTTTTAAAAATTGTTCTTGCTGCTTGAGTTGTGTAGAAGACAAATTCACATCACTAAAGCCATGACACGCAAACAACATCGTTTCAGAGTGACGAACGCCTGTCGAAATGTTTCGTAGTAATGAGTGGTGCTCTGCTTTGAAATATAAAACATTATGTTTGTTTTCATTCTGTTGATTCGTGACATGATTGCCTTTACAGGTACAGACGAGTAACTTACATACAAAAATGAACTGCAACTGACAGTAACGTCTTAACATAACATAATAAACGTCGTAACGCGGTGTGCCTTAGAAAATCACTAACGGTACGGTCAATTAGTAACAAAAATCACTACTATGTACACGTTAAATACTGTTTGTAGTTTACACAAGTAGTACGCATTTAAATGAAACACTTTAACAGTTTAAAACGCGATATGTACTTATTAGTTAAATTATTTTGAAAAATATTTTTTCTACGGCCCGACTTAACCACGATTGCTGCAAAGCATCTAAAACGTCGGGCCGTAGTGAAAAAAAATTAACTAATATATATCGCGTTTTAAACCGTAAAAGTATGTACACGTTACTTAAATGTACACATAATAAATGATAGAAATTAAAAGAAAGGTAGATATAAAACCGATAGGAAGCCAGACACCCCTTCTATCGACAATTAAACCTCCATAACAAATTGTAGGCTACGGTTTGATCTTTCAGAAAATGGGGTGCAGACGAATACGAACTGTACCCTGGTGTATAATTATAGCTTGCCTACGAATTGACGGAAAGAACACTTCCTTGACAGTACTAATTCTATCGATCATGGAAGAATTTATATGAAAAAAAAATGTAGTAGGTAGTACATCATGAAAGGCATGGGACACTCTTCAAGAATCAGTTTCAAGAATTCGCTTTAATTTCAGGCAAAAAGTCGATGAGACTTCTCTGCCATTCCTGACCGAAATTGTATTTCTTCGGAATTCGATGCCTTCAAATCCTATTGTGCCACAGAGGTGATCGATCACGGGTAGTAATTATGAATAACAAATTGCCAAAATCCTAATCCTAAGCCAATAGATAACGATACATTTTGTTTATAGTAAAACTATTAGAAAATCATTTTAAACTTCTGTAGATTAAATGACTTACTTGATATTTTTGTTTCCGAACGGAATATTTTTTTACAAAAATTTGTGAAAAATATTTGTCATTTAGACAAGGAATAGCAACAAATATCCAGCCTCTGTATCATTTATATTGTAATTTAAGAATAAAATCCAACGGATAACTACAATGGAAGGTTTGACTTCTATTTTCAAATAATCGATGTCAAGAGCGCATCACTAGCGTATCCGTGACACGGCGATGTCGTATTTCACGCGGCCCCGGCCTCTCGAAATATTCAGTAATGAGCGGGCCTGTACTTTGTAAATCCGGTAACCACTGGGAACGGAAATTTGAATAAACATTTTATTTTATATTAAATTATAATCAGGCGCGCATAGACAAGATGGGACAATTAATATCAATGCAGATTATTTCCCTAAAACCTATTTGAAATTTTTATAATATTCTATTAATTTAGTTTTCGAATTAAAAATAATGTCATTTTTAAGCTTTTTTTATGTGCCATATACCCTAAAAGGCTACCTTTATTCATGTATTAGAGGCTTTCATATTATGTAGGTATGAAGCGACACTAAGTTAAAGTTATGGTGGCTCATGTCTTTGTACATATAATTGTAAATGTAGTTAAAAAAAGTTATTTAAATTTTTTAAATGTTTTAACATCAGCTTATACCAGAAACCTCTATTCTGATTACGCACGCTTAAAAAAAAAATTGGTAAGGTGGTCCATAATTATGAAATTTCAATGAAAAAAGCAAAAAACCCAACTATGTAGTTTGTTTACAAAACAAAATTCACGAAGATGTCTTATTATTCTTTGGCTAAAACAATTCACCAGGCCAGCATAAAAAGTGGCATCAAGCCATATTTGATGCACGTTCTCAATATGTCATTGCATTTCTCTGACAGAAGCCTTCGTCTGTATAAGGAGTACATAGCTATAACTGGGTATATACTCGTGGCGGGCGGCAGCGTCGGATGTATAAAGTGGCGCGCCGGTGGCCGACATGACATAGCTATAACTCGCGGTGCCATGACAAACAGCCGCCGCCGGACGGCTATGGAGACTACATTTTATTTTATTCCCAAAAGCAACTGTAACAATTTCGATGGACTATTTTACGTTGAGACGAGGAAGTGGTTATGTACTTAATTATGAATCACAAATCACTAATTTTACATATTATCTTTGTTTTTAGGTTGTTTACGTGAATCTTGGATTTATATAATTATCACATATTTATTTAGTTTATGACTGATTAATAAAATACACAACCTATACCTAAATAGATATAGACCTTAAAGGAAAGGAAATGTTTCGTATATATACATAGAATATATATAGTTTTCTATTCTTAATATAAAAAAACGAAGTTAATCAAGAAAAAATATAAAAGAGTTGCTAAACAATAAATAAAAAAATAAAATATGAATAATTTCGACTCCATGGTTCCATTCGTCCACACCCGACACCGGGGGCGACGTCGGTAAAGCGCGATACGGGCTCGCCTCGGGCGGCGCGAACCAATTACCCGCGCATTTACCCCCCCCCCGCCTCACCCTACCGCCCACACGATATCTCTTGATAGCGCTGCGACCCTAGTACTCTGCCGCCTGGAGAACGCCCGCAATGCGATGCGGTTGGCTTTTGTCGGGCCCCGTCTGTTACGTTCGACTTGTTTTATGCGACGAGGCTCAATTTCTTTTTCTTATATGAATGACAACTGGCTAACTAGTTTCAATAACCACTTTAAAATAGCTTCCAACTTCTTTAAAGAGGCCTTTTAGGGTAATTAAATATTACAGGTATTCATAATTTTTATGGATAAATAAGGTCACTACTAATGTTGTATTGTCTCTTAATATTAGTAATTTAAAATTACTGTAGGTTTTGACATTAGCACTTTAAGGTTACATTTTAACGAACCTTAGGTTAAATTTAAAGCACCAGTACACGGCTTAAGTTATTTCTTACGGTTCACGGTGGTTTAAAAAATAGTGCTTGCATGTGATCACATAGCAAATGATATCGATTCAATTCAGTGCATTGCGAACATCGCCTTATCTGTAATCTCTCTTTGTGATGCGACCATGTCTCCCCGCAACCCGCGTCATCCTTTCCCGCCATAATTTACGACGGGCCCGCGACCGACCGCTCGTCGCTCGTCCCGGGCCCGGATTTATAGCACCATTTTTATAATGTCTAGGGTTGCCAACTTTTCTTTTTTATGTTTCAACATATCAGTGGATGGTTTTAATCTATCGCTCGTGTGTCCACGATAAACAGACACAATTTCGATGTGTTTTTTATTACCTATTTAAAATTTACCTAAATACCTACAACCTTTTTGAGTGTTTCGAAAATACAATGTAATATCTATACTATTTAAAAGTAAGTATTCGATATTTTTTAAAGACAAAATGAAACCTAAAATTGTTTTAGTAATGTCTGTTCTGTGCAATAAATACGGATACCTGTAAGGTCAAGCTCGAAGGACCTAAAGTCAAGCCATCGTAGTTTGATTACACGTGTCACGTTACTCAATGTTACAGCAAGGTCTACTACCTTCTTATATTATAGTCCTGATACAATGGTTGCATGTAATTACTTGAATTTACTATCTAGAACCTTTATTATTTAAAAGCTATTAGAGATGTGCACATTAGCCTATCTTGTTATATATATGATTACTAGCGTTTAAATTTAGTTAAGCTGACTCAGGGTACGCTATTAACGTGAGTAGGTACGAGTCTCGCCCATGTTGTTTTTATGTATTAGAAAAAAATATTTACATAAAATGTACATAAAGATTATAATTTTGCCTACATTACATCAAAAATGTTACATCTACTAAGAAATGACTACGTCATAAAGATGATATTCTTACCAAGAAAGCCTTAAGTTCGCTAGCTTGCCGCTGCCCGAATTTCGGCGGATTATAAACTCGGCTTTGTGGTGACTACTGAGGATTAGCAGGGTACGCCTTTTTTAATTAGTGACGATCTTAATCCGTCAATATTACCCGGTCTTTTATTAAATTCGTCTGTTCCATTTTCCATAAATAGTTACCAGTTGTAGGCTCCCGACATCATTCAGTGCTTTCTGTTACAAAAAAGATCTTGTAATTCATATGATTTAAATAGTTTTTCATTCAATTAAGAGGCTTAATTATTTACCAAAAGACTTCCATTGCTTTGATGTATACTCTATGGTAGTTGGAGTTATCTTATTGCACCGCTGGTAAAGACAAAACACTGTCTAAATGCAGTTATTAAAAGTATGCTTAATTCACGATTTAGGCGGCTTTAGGTATCCAAGTATTCATGTTTATTGTGAGTGATGAAACATTTGAAAATTTTACTTTTAATTACAAACTTTTTCACAAGTACATTACTTTAAATTCATAATTGACACCAGTTGAAATAAGAAATGGTGGCAATTATAGTTTTATTACCATTTATTAATCTGTGCAGTATTTCAAGAAATGTGTACCATACAATGTTCCTACATTGTTTTTCACTAATACATTATATTAGTCTTACATACATACATCTGCCGATTTAAATCGGCTTCTCTTAACACAAAACATATTAAAATACTCCACAATTTTATGTGCACCGGCACGTTATTGCCGGAGTATAAAACAGGTCATAAGCAGAAATATCATAGCTATCGTTATCCGAAGGTTTTGCCGTTAAGGGACCATTTGATTGCCGAGGATGGTGTGGTGGTGCGTTATAATTTAATTGACGTCTGTACGAGACTTGTGCTCGCGATAACTTCCATTTTACTAATATATAATTAAGGCCACCCAGCAACTAACCGATATCAACGTAGGTGTGACGAAGAGGTTACCCGACTACGATGTAGCTAATAGAAAGGGAAATCATTTGATCGGTGTATGTATGTTTCTCTGTAGAGTACTATGTCTATATATCTATAAAGCCGAACCAACGAGATAGCAAATGACCCGTAATAATATTGCATGTATGACCGTGGCGATAGGACGAACATCTCGAAAAACATTACTAGGATCCGTGCTTGGTTATGTTAACAATAAATATATAATTATGTATTAGCTCTATCATTAAAAATATGCAGTTGTGCCTTGTTAGAATTATAAACTAGAATTGTACATAGATTAGTTTTTGTATTGTAATGAAATAAAATACTGTCTATAGTTTACACGAGTAGTACACATTTAAATAAAACACTTTAACGGTTTAAAACGCGATATATTAATTAAACTTATTTGAAAATGATTTTTAACTTCGGCCCGACGACGCTTTGCAGCAGCCGTGGTCACGGGGAGACCCCGTCCGACCGGGAGATCGCGTTTTAAACCGTTAAAGTGTTTTATTTAAATTGTAATGAAATAGTTAAATTACTTACTAAACTTACGCACGTATTATCTATTTGTGTAATTATAAAAAATAATAATACAAGTAAAACGTACATTTTAACACACAATAGATATATCCGCCATAAACCATAATAACATTAGCGTAATGCGTCGTGCCTTTTCAAAATTCAGAACGCCCCTGTTTAGGTCTGCGGTTGTCAGGTAAAAATGTCGTGGTATTCATTTTTAAGCAGCCCCGGGCGTGACTGGGAAGCGGACTTGATTAATCGTACCTGCTACTAATGACCTCCCCGAATTGTCGGATTATTTATCGGAAATTGACAGCCCTATGGTGTTAGTGAAGTCAACTTGAACTTTATCGATGTTAGAATTAAAAACTAGTTTCAATAAAGTGACTAAATATGGTCTATATGGCTTGCACAATTCTATATGAGAAATCGACCGTAAGAAGAAGAACATATAACAAATAAGGATATATAATTAAAATCAATAAAAAAAGTTGTTACTAAATTAAAATAACTAACTACTATTTACTATTTTATTTATAACTTGTCTTCGCTAAGCGATGTACTATATTATCAAACACTTTATTAAATCTACTACTAGAACAGTAGTTATATCAAGATCAAACGGTTCGACATACCACCCCCATCCATCGGATTAAACCGATACTCGATCGGTTCAATCGAATGAAAATATCGATACGTTCGCAAGGTACTAGGGGAGCAGAACGTGAGCAGAGGTCGTTCAAAGTTTCCAACGTCAAATCGATCGCTTATCGAGTCGTGTGGCCGCTGCGGTCGCCATTGTATTGTTCCCACATTTTTCTGACGCTTCGCGAACCGACTGAACGACGATATTACACTACAAGGTGCTTTGAGTCCCTTTCGGGTGTCAATCTGTCGCCCTTTTTAAACAGAAGGGGTGAAATCTACACACACATACACTCGAATGGGCATTTAAAGTTTTCGTTGACACTTTTTATGTGTACTTCAAGGGTCTTTTAGATAAAAAGTTATATCGCTTCTATAAGGCTAAATGTATCTTGTGAATGTTTTACACAGAATTCAGTTTTATAACGAATAATTTAATATAAGAAACTAACTTGGATAAAAAAACCGTTTTACCCAACCAAGAAACCGAAAATACCAACAAACTAAAAACATTTTAGTAAAACGCTACCTATACGAAATTAGAGCAATGATTAAATTAAAAATCGATTATAGATTGAAAAATTGACGCGGGCAGGATTCGAACCGGCATCAATTAAGTTAAAACGTCCCATGCTGCTCTAACTAATTGAGCTACCGTGCCGTTTAGAAGAATAAATGTTTGAGGACCCTGGGTTTGACATAGAACTGTGTTTCATGCCCCAAATAGAGTTCCGTATATTTACTAATGGAATATTGTACCTTTATATGAGTAAATCATCTATATTATATGTTTCGACAAATAATAATGTAACCTAGCATACAAAACTCCATACAACGACCTTATCAGAAAGGTACTCTCTTATCATAAGATCGTAAAAACGCAAAAATTAAATCGCGTAGTCGATTCAAATTTCAAAGAAATAAGTCTTTTTATCAATGTTAATTTATTTGCATTTTTTAAAGTGTAAATTCCCTGTATACCTAGTATTGGTATTGACAATTATATACAAAGTATTAAAATTAAATACATTGATTTAATATATAATAATTCATTGAAAAGATCAATGAAGTGTGTTTTAGTTAAACTTTCTGTTGGCAATTACAGTTAAAATTAATTTTATTTATTTTTAATAATTTTCATCAAAGACAAGTAAAAATTCTTTGCCGCTTTATCATTTCACCTGCTCATCTTTGATCAAGTTGCTTTCGCCAATAGCATTAATTGCACAATTAAGAACTTTAATACAAGTTAAATAGAGTTTAAAATACATTTTACGCTAACATCTAAAGAGACAAGAATACAATCGAAAATCTTACGTGGTTATGTATTCTTAGTAGTTCGGTCTAGATCTTAGAAAGGGTAAGGTCAAGACGATAATTTTTTTATTGATTTTATTTTTATTTGTCTTTAAATTTTTCTTTATTCTTAATTTCTTCATACGGGGTACTACGATAGTTCTTACTTTGACTTCAAGGGTTATTTAACTATTAATTTGATTTAACTTCTGTTATACTTTGAAACTTTTTAATTTTACGTATTTATTATAATTGATTTTTTTTTTTTACAATTGTCTCATTGAACTTTTTTTGGATTGTATGTATGCGTACAATTTTATATATTTTATCTATGAATACATGAATGAATTACCCTTTTAAGATCATATTTTTTGGTCAATATCAGCAGATTATACATATTAATAATAGGTTTTTTGATATTTTGTTTTAATGTTTTAATCTTATGTGAGTATTTAATACAGTTTTCAGTACCTAAGTTCTGTTTGTACTTAGTCGAAATTTAAGGAAGTAATAATTACAATATGCACATTTTTAAATTATAACGGTATCAGTATTATTTCTTATAATAATGGTACCATTATATGCCAAAGGATAAATCAAAGAAAAATATATATTAATAGTTGTCCTTGGGATTAGTTAAAGGTAGATCCCACTCTACTACTCTATCTGCTAGTAAAAACAGCAGGGTAGGACGCGTTTAATAATATTTTTTAAAGGATCATTGTTATATTGTACTAACCTTTTGCGTTTTAACTAAGTTATTATATGTTACTGAGTGTGAGCCTACCTTTACAGGTGGTGTCGGGATGTAGAGCGGCGGGTCACTTTGGGACCCGCTATACACTTCTTGACCATCTGCACCCCTGGTACATCCTTCAGCATCAGAAACACTGTATCTGCATACAATACTATCAGCAGGCTTCGCATCGTATCCAGGAGGTTTCCCGACATGGAAGCCCTTCGCCTTCACCCAGAAGCGAAATTTTGAGCTATCCGAACTGTTGCATTCCTCACCGCGTAGGGTTCGCAGAATTCTGGCGTACTTCTTCAACGTAATCGTTTTCGTTTTGGCCAGATCACCATAAGTTTGTATGACCCAGGGCTGATAGGTCGTAAACAAATCCAGTTTGGGATCGCCCGTTTGAATCTTCGGTCTTTTATTATTGTTTTGCTCGTTTTTCCTCTCATTTTTCGAACTACTGGGCGTCGATTTGCGCTTCGAAGGCTTTTTAGGCGTTTTTTCCGGGATCGCCTCTTGAGTTAACTTTTTACGAAGTCCACGGTCCTTAATCATGGCAGCAGCCATCTTTATCAATTGTCACTGCACTGTCTTAAAATCCGAACATTATTCACGTATATCGGCCCGACGCGATCTGCGTATGAAAATAATAATAAACTGTTAAAACCTGGTGCTTTTTATTTTCTTCGCAAGAATTTAATTAGCCCCCGTTGAGTTGTCTCTGCGGCTTTCTCGAGAATTGTTTCGGCGAAAAGTTCGGGACTCGGGACTCAAAGTTTTAAGACTCGTGTGCGTTTAACTTTTTGTGCGCGAACTCTATTGAGGATTTTACAAGAAATCGAGAAGATTGTAAGAGAATTTTTGCGGGGGTTTAAATTGGATATACTGAGTTCGATTAACCCATGCGATGTCAAAAAAGTGAACGAAACCAAAAAAAAGTTTTTTATTTTATTTTATGGAGTTATTAAAAAATATAAAGTACCAGGCTATTAAAAATATATCGAGGCGTATCGTAAAATTGGAGCGAGCTACTCAAACCCCCTTTTACGCGACCGCTGGCGTAGGGCGCGCGCGGTTTACTGAATATGGCTGTGATGTCGGCACTCGGCGCGTCTCTTTGGGACCGGCACGTGCGGCCGGGCCGTGTTAATTGCCCACAAAACAATCGGCCGGTTCTTCAGGCGCCCGATAATGCGCGCTTCGGCGGACGGCCTTGCGATAAGGCTATTGTTTACTTACTTATAATTAGTCCTAGTTGCCTAGTGCACACGAAATTACAGACTTACGTTAGAGTACTCCGTGAGTTCGTTTTCTTAATTTTTATAATAATTGAATGGTAATAAATAATTTAAAAACAAGAAAAAAAAATAGATCTCATATAATATGCTTCCTCTTTTAAGGATATGGAAAAACAATAGGGAGTAACAAACCAAATAACCTAACTTTGTTAACTGTTTACACCTTCACCTCATATTAATTTAAGCCAAAAATTTTAATAAATTGATTCGTCATTAAAATTATGATAACTCATCATTTTTATACATAGTAAACAATGAATACCAAAAAATCTAAATTTTTACTAGACAGAAGAAATAATATTGCTATCTCTTTCTGAAAGTGTGTCCTGTCGCATTACGGTCATGATCCCATGAATAAGTCAGTGCGCAAGCGGTAACTTTAAATCGACAAGCAAAAATGACTTCTATTGAAACAAAATAAGCAAGTACGTTTTAGGCAATACGACCTTTTGGAATTACGTTTAAAGTGCGCGCGCGCGCCTATCTCACTATGCGCGCGGGCAACGCGCTTGCGCGATTTGTGCGCATCGTACCAGGCAGCTATGAATGACTAAGAATTCGTTCCTGTTTACAGTATGTACTACAGTTGCGCGTGCGCCACCGTACGTCACTTCGCTTGTGTGCATCACTTCGTCATTGCCGTATCGTGTTTACATAATGACTCTTAAAACTTCCTGCACACTTATAGCATCCTAGGATGTTGATGAACAGTTCGCCGTGATTTTTGATTATTTCGCCAACTTGTCCGTCAACAATGCGCGTGCGCGACCGCGACCAGTTTTTTCACTGTTTGTATGTACTTTTGTGGCATCGACCTTTTTTTTGTTAATTTAATTTAACTTCTTATTTAAGACAACTTAGAATAAATTAAATATCAAATATTCTTTTTTGTTTGGAGAAATAAGTATTTTTTATTCTCGAAAACAGTTTTCCTAGTATTATATATATATATATATATATATATTTATTATATATATATATATTTTATTTATTAATTATTTTACCTTTGCTTCAAATAAGGGACCTGTCTAGTAAGTAGTACGTGTACATCTTATAAAAAAAATAATTATTTAAAGCATAAATCTAAGTAAGCTAAAAAATGTATGTAAAATTAATTGTAACCAAAGGACAAAGAAGATTTTTTGTTGGCTGAATTCGAAGCCTGCAGATACGACAAAATGTTTTATAACGACTAGGAACATATGAACAATACGGAAGTACAAATATATAATCAGGATGCCTAAGATGAACCGAACTAGAAAAACATCTCTTCGAGCTGATCATAGCTGAGATGAATGATGTACTAGGGAGGTATATGTTACGTGGGATTGTGTAGAAAGTTATCATTACTTTTGTAACTATGCTACACGCGTGGTTATTTCACGTAAAGCGTAGTAGAAAAATTATATGTTGTTGTTATGTAGTATTAGAAAGATAATTTAAAACAATATAATTACATATATTTTTATACATAATATTATAATATTTTAGAAACCAACTTTAACTCGACCAGCCCTTAATACAACTTAATTATTATTTACGTCGTATTATTAACATTTTGTGTCTTTTGTTATATTGCTACCAGTTATTATTTTTACTTACAAAATACTTAACTAAACTGAAAACTATAAAAGTATATATTAAATAAATACGTCGTATGTATACTCATTCGATATAAGTAATGACATAGAGGTATATTATTTGATTTCACTTCGGAAACCGATTAATTGACCGTTTTTTTTACATTCTGCAAGTAATGTTGGATAGGTATATGTAAGTAACTAACAGTAGCTTTAAAAAAACCTTTTTAATGTATTAAAATGCAAAATATATTAGTTACAATTAATTATTAACTATGGTCCGACGTTTCGTATAATGGAGGGATGATCTTTTTATGACCATGGAAGAAAAAGCCCGTTTTAAACCCGTAATTTTTTTAAATGTGTACTTAACCGTTTTATATAATGTGTAATAATGTTTTATATCTTATAGTATATAATATATATGCATATACATAAATAATGTAAAGCGTAGCGAATAACGATATGATACAATCAAACCGAGCTCACTAATGCGTCCCGTCGACTCTTCGTTCAAGCTCCGGCCACACTTGCCAGCTTCTAGTGATGACCATAATTCATTCTATCGATACTCTTTGTTGTTCTTTTTTGATATAAGTTCTGCAAATTGTTTGAAGTCCCAAATAGATTATACGTTTATAGTATTTGTCTTCGGTCTCTGTGAATGTTTTTATTAATTGTATCTTTTCCCTTTCTTGATCAATAACTTTAATACAAAAAAAAGGAATTAATTATTATCTGTAGGAGTACTTATGCTACAGGTTTCCTATATGCTGTTGTAAAGTAAATTCATTTGCATTGTATTTTCAAAGAAATTACTTCGTAGAAATCCAAAAAAAGGTCAACACATGAGCAAAACATCGATATCGATAAAAATCGCAGTAACACAGCACGTCCCCAGCGACACCTACTTTACTGGCCCGGCCCCACCTCGCCCGCCGGCTTATCCGCAAAGCTTGGTGCAGATATATTTCATTTCGCCACTAGGCAACTTTTTGTGCGCAGCACTCAGCTTTCTCACATATTCTCTTGTTCCTGATGCTCTGGTACATGGTTACATTTTTACAAGTAAAAGTTATGACGAAGTCATGGCAAAGATTTTTCACCTAATTAATGTTAAAAAGCTACTTTGTTTGTTGTTGTTGCTACTACAACGCGACTATTTTACTAGCAGAGAGTTTCGTTGAGCCGTTTATAAATAAATAATACCCTAACTTCAGCAGACGAATAAGACTTTTTATAACTTTTGTAAAAGATTCACAGCAGAAATCTATCTATCTACAAAGGAAATTTGACCGTTTTACATCAGAATTCAAAAGGTTTCAAAATTTTTCTCCAATAATTATTTTCTTAAAAAAAAACATTTTCGTTTTAGGTAGGGCAGAGAGTTTGATCGACCGGAAAATTTGCATCACACAAAAAGTACAATGTAGTTTTCGTTACTCCAAACCAACATTTTGGTTCCATGATTCTCCCTGAGAAAGCAAAGATGTGTATCTGTTTTCCATAAAGCGCTGACCCGCTTGCTCTTAAAAATAAAAATGCAGCGTCAGACGTCTGCGGCAGAAGCCGACATAAAATCAGGGGCATTTATTGAGTGCAGGATCTGCAAATTGGATACCACTTTGCGAGTGCTGAGATCGGCTCCTTTAACAATTTTTAAGCTATTCGCTATATATAGCTATTGTTTACGATTAGATTAGAGTATATATACTTATGTAAAGAGTTTTGTTCCATTGAATGCGCTAATTAATTTATTTTGTCATATTTCTTAATCGAAAAAGTGAGCTCTAAGTTTCTCTCGGTTGGGACTCGGGTCTTTTAAAATTGACATCTACAAATAATGCCTTAAAACATTTGTTTGAACGATTGGCGATCGAACTCCGTACCCCCAAACGTCAGTTGAGACACTACATGGCTCTTAAGAGATGGCTAAACAGATAAGTACTTAAGATTTATTATTTTCTTGATTAATAAAATGTCGAATTACATTGTTACTTAAATATTATGGGAATGCTTAAATACTCTCAACTCAAGTCTACTCGCGATCGACAAAGCAATGTTCAAATACTATATCATCAGCTGTTACGATTTGTATGGATCATTAGAGAAATTCCTATGATAAAAGAAAAACACGTAGCTGCGTTATCTGTGCGCTTGTACCAGGCGGGTAGCAGTGTGGCGGGGGCAGGCGTTGGCGGAGTAAATTAGGCGCGACTCGGTCGCTGTTACCGCCCGTCGCACTCAGCGATATTGCTATCGGCCCGCTTTGACTACAGGGTTGCCACTTTCGTATATTCACAATTATATTATTATTTGATATAATTTTAACTTTTTATTTAGGAAAACAAAGTAATATAACACAATATCTCATGCGTAGAGTGACCGTTTAATTGACGTTTAACTGATACATTTTATATCCAACCATTAATATAATTTTATTTAATGCTAAATAACATTCATGACTCATATAACCTAAAACCCGTGTAATATAGTTTTTTGAATTAATTACTAAGAATGGGTTTGTAAACCACTTCCTTATATAACACATTACGACACGATTCATCGAAGGCAGACAATATTAACCTGTTCAACTTTTATTTTATATTAATAAAATGTTTAATCATTTTAGAGGTACAGCCCTAAGAGACGCGCCGGTTGCCGCCTGCCAGCCCGGGAACAAAGCAGCCGAGCGAGCGCCACTCACCGCTTGCCGAGCTACCGACCGACGCTACTGCGATCTATTAGTTTTGACATTTTTTATTTAAATAATATGTTTATAACTATAATTTGTAAGTATATGTAAAAAATCAGTGGCGTTTGATTTACTATTTCTATTGTACATATTACATAAACTAAAAATAAATTTCTAAACTAGCTGAAATTTAGTATTTGTGAAAATTTATTGGGGTAATGCGACTGCATAATATAAAAGTTAGTTTGGAAAACTATAATCTTCCTCCGAAAATTTCCTCTTCCTATATGGGATTAGACACATGCCCGAGACCAAGATATGTCGACAGTGCAACTCCACAGTCCTTGCGGATCCACATGCTTTTTTCTTAGTTTTAATGACAATTACGGTTTCACTTAAAACCATTTTAGATCTTTTAATAAAATAGTTAGCGATTCGAGATATATCGAGTAAAGTATCCAAACGCGCTCGTCGCAGTAACCACACAATGATTCACCGAGGCGCGGCGCGGGTCGACATCGACATGGCTTGGCGTCCCGTGCACAGTGTAACCTCACCTACCGCATATAAACACCTACTTATACGTGTTGCCGCTCTTCTACGGTACACGCCAGCAAAATGTTTCATATATGTATTACTTACAAATGTACATACAATATACGAGTTTCAAATGTTAATAAATAACACACAAGATGCCAAAAATTATTTATAAAATAAAATATTTTTATACTGCTATAATGCGAATAACGAGCCTTTTCTATAAATAATAATGATTTTCAGTAATGGAGGAAAATAAAAATGTGCATTTAACATACGCAAAAATTACTTTAACTAGTATTTGTGTAAAAGTTATGGAAACATTTTTTGGTGCTCTTGTAGATTCACATTTTCAAACTATGAAAGTATGTATAAATAACTCAAGTCATAAAAATTGCAGGTAAGCTACTCTGCCTGTAACGGCGTCATATATATGCATATCATAAGAATTTTACATTATACCTAGAGGCGGAAATATTTTACTATTGATTTAATTCTTATTTTTATATACATTATCTTACATTTAAGACTGTGGATTCGTTCTATACCACCTAAAAAATAGTGGTTATTGTATTAGATAGATTAAAGCGCTCTCTAGCGACGAATAGCAAATACTTATATAACATATTTATGGCAATAGATGAAGCTTTATTAAAAATTATTATAGCTCTTAAAAACTTTTTTTATAATTTTTGGACAAGCTACAAGTTCACTAACAAATCATTGGCACGGACTAAATTCTTACCTAGACTTGCTACACTGACATATTTTTGATTTCTAAACTTGAACTTAAATTCTAAGGTCCTTGACTCTACGTCTACGTCTACTAGACGTTGGGTGAAACATGTAAAAAAAATGAAAATTTTTAACAATCTAGATCATTTGGGAATTAAACCCACTCCGTTCTCATAAAGTAAAAGCTGTTTATAAAAATAGATCTTTATTGAGTGAAATAAAATATCCTTATACTAAAATTGAATTAAATAATAAGTAAAGAATTACTATAGTATAGAAATTTAAATATTAAGCTCTAAAAATTTTGGCTTCATTATAAATGTTTCATTAATATATAAATATTAAAAATAGAACTCTTTTAAGGGAAAAGATACTGTTTCTAGTTAAAACGTTGATTTTAATGGAAAACTTTTAAAACTAAATTACAGAGTTAAAACTAAAACACTACGTCCAAAGTCCATTATCCATCGCATGTTTTCTCAATTTGTGTTTCTTCAAATACTTTGAATCAATGAAAGCTTCCCCGCATAAATTGCACACATAGGGCCTCTCTCCAGTATGAGTGCGTAAATGAACAACTAAATTACCTTTTAGGGCAAAAAATTTCATGCACACTGAACAGCCAAACTTCTTTTCTCTTGTGTGAGTCAGTTGATGAGTTCGCAAATGTGTTTTGGTTTTAAATCTAAGAGTACACAGCTGGCAAGGGAATGGCCTTTCGTTTGTATGTACTCTTTCATGCATTATCAGCATTGCTTGACTCGCGCAGCGTTTCTTACATATAGAGCATTCAAATCTCTTCATTTGTTTATCTATTTTCTTTGTTTCTACTTGTTGGAAAAAGTGAGTGCGTTCAATGTGTTGGTCTAATGCTGTTTCTAGAGAAAACATCTTTTTGCACAACGAGCATGCATAGCCCAAGAGTTTACCAAGATTTGTAGTCACAGTCTGTCGAACTGTTCGCATCAAATCATCCTTTACATCTGTCTCTGTCGCCTTACATTCACCTGACTCCTTGTGAGCTGCTAAAGATGCCTTGTCTTCGAATACAATCTCACATATGTTGCAGATAGTTGAATTTATGTGAATCAATCTATGGGTTTGCATTGTAATTTTTTGGTTGAAGCGTTTAAAGCAAATGTCACATTCAAATTCCTTTGTTCCAGTATGTATTAACATGTGACGTTTCAAGTTGTTCTGATTTGCAAATGTTTTCAAACACATGTTACACTGAGGTTTTGAATTATGTGTGTACTTTATGTGCTGGGAGAGTGATGTCCGCCGAATTACCTGATTACAGAATGGACAAGTCACTAATGGTCCACTCGACCTGTGTAATAAAGTGTGACCAGTTAATATCTCTGATGTTTCAAACTTTTTACCACACAAGTTGCATAAGTGTTCCCCTTCTGGATTATGTTTGTATTGGTGTTTCCCAAACTCTTGTATGTCTTCAAACTGCTCCCCACAGTCGCAGAGGAAGGTACCGTCTTCCTGCTGCAGAACAGTCGCTATTTGTTCTTCATCAGCATATTCAATAACAAACTCAGATCCATCAACTTTCAGTATCTGGAACTGTGAATCATCATCTCCTTCACATAATATTATTTCTTCTTGTGCTGCATCATCAGCATCATTTGATTCTTGATTTTCCATTACAAAGTTATCACTGTCATCATTTTCCAGAAGAATTGTTTTCTGTACACCAGATTGTGTAACAATTTTGATTAAATTTTTTGTGTTAAACTCTTTTACTTTATCAGACAATGATACTTTTATTGGTTCACTTATAATTTGAATGGTATTATTACTTGTGTTTTCTTTGTCATTAATGTAACCAATTTCGGTTTCATGGCCCTCCTCATTTTCTAAAATAGTAGCTGGTACACTAGCAGACACCTTGTTTGATAGTAAAAATGTGTCAAGACAACTGTTGATAACATTATTCTGTACCAAATCTGCAGATTGTTGAGAATTAGAGTCTTCAATTGAATGTACATCATTGTCTTCAGATTCCACTTCCATTTTTACAATCGGCTGTTCTTTCTGTTGATTTTCATCTTTGTCATCAATTACTAAGACATAATAACAATCATCTTCTTCCATGGGTTCAGACTTGATCATAGATTGTAATTTTTTCATGCAGTCAATGGTAACATCTTCTGGGATATGTTCAGGTTCTTGTTTTACTTGTGAAGTAAATGCATTCAACTGCTCTCTGAGTTCTTTATCCATTTTTTGGCACTGACTTCTAAATTTATAAGCAGAATTTAAGATTTCTAAACAATCTTTACATAGCTTTTGTGGTAGTTTGTCATCAGACCGTACCTAAAAATAAAAAATAAAATATAATCAGAATAGTAATAGTTTTCTTAAGTTTTACAGAAATACAAATATGAAAATATTACTAATTTAAGTAAACACAGGACAAAATAAACTAGAAGAGCAATTAGTCATTGATCAGAGGTGTACTACTAGTTTTTAGTGATGAATAACGGGTTAACAAAACTGTGTATTCACAATAACATAACTAACACATTAATAACAGTATAATAAGAATAATAAACTTAATAATAATACAATTTATTCATCATAGGTAACCAAAAAGTCTTGACAAATTTTAATATCAAATTTGACAGGTTTTTTGATATAAATTCATATATTATATATTAATGATTTAAATTTTACGATAATCATTGTTTAGCTAATTAAGAATTTTAATATCATCAGTCTATCATAAAGGTAGACGATAACATTAAAAATATATGCAATTTGAAAAAGTTACCTCAATTGTAGTAGCTTCCAAGAATTTCGTTTTAATATCTTCATTGTCTAGAATTGACAATGTTGAGTCTGGTGTTAGACAGCTTCGGCAAAGATTCAGCCAAGATTCCATTTTAAAAAATATCGAACATAACTATACCACCTGGAAATTGAGAAAAATAATTGTATATTCTTTGAATATCCATTGTTATGACACCAATAACTTCGGTAGAATCAAAGACCACATTTGCAAAGGAATCCAAAGAGTAAAAAATTATCTACGGACCTTGTCCATAAAGAGATGATCTATTCCAATTTATAGACAAGAGAGCATTGCAAGATGGCGATTAATAGCACTTTGTAGTTTGTAACCAACGCGTCGATTTCCCTTGCGGAGCACGAGCCAACGAGGCGCGAGCGCGACGCAGATAGTGACGTGATCGATTAATACTTATTAACCGGTTATCGTTATAATCGATTATTTCATTATTCTTCAGTCGATATATTAAATATTAATATTGTATACTCTATGTTGTATTAATAAACAAAGGTATCTTGTATACTTTTTTTATTAATACAACAAAATTATATAGGTAATTATATAGGTGTGCCATAAAAGTAAGATTTTTAATGGAACTCATAAATATAATATGCTTTTATATTTAAAGCTTATTTTTGTTTGTCTGATATTAGATTGGTGTTCATTAGAATTTATTTTTTGGGTATTTAAAAACAATTTATCTTTGTAAGATTGATATCTGAAGAACATATCCAATGTGCAAATACATTGTTAGCATCTTTAAAAAGTATCATAGATTTTATTTAGACTTAACCGGAAGTAGTGGTGCAAAATGAAAGTGTCATATTATACATCATAGCCAAACAAAAATGTAATTTACAATATTTTTGACATAATAAGTAAAATATGTTTTTGTATTACTTTCGTAATCATTTAAGTTTTTTATGTATGTCTAATATTAATACTCTAGGTGTCGAATTGGTTCATGATTCTATCTGGTACATGATTACACTAGGTGGCGTTGTTAACAGTTTTTAGAGAATAGTGTTAAACAGTATTCAATATTGGAAGATAAAAAATTATTTTTGAGAATAAGCACGTATTATAATACAGTTAGTCATTGAATATTTTGACTTTCAATATCATATGTATTTTCTTACCGTATACCTTTAATATGAAGCAATATTTCAAAAGTTCAAGTGCTGAGACCATTGTTTTTTTATCTATTTTTTTTAATAATTTGACTTTCATTATTACTTATTTTTTTTACCTTTAATTCTTACAAATTTAAAATGTTCTTTTTTTTAATTTTTTTTTTAAACAATAAGAGTCTTTAAAAAATACTCTTTAATATTTTTTACTAAATGATGTATATTGCTATATAAAGCCTATCGTGTTTTCTTGCTTTGCAACTGACTTTACTTCTATTGTTTATAAATTCTAAATAAAGAAATATTTATAATAATATTAATTCAATAACTTTATAAAGCCACAAAAGTGCTTATTTTCGTTAAATAATAAATAGTAAGTTTTACTTACTTCAAAAATAATTTTAAATAAGAAATGATATGATACCGAGACTGATAGTAGTGGTGTGATTGAGTAGGGTAAGTTTCTATTGCTCGATTGAATAACCTCCGAAGAGCATTAATCATTTCAAAATCTGCTATCCATAATCGTTTAACGAAGATACCTGCAGTCCATTTATTTATATTTATATACAATTCCTTACAGCTATTAGTCTGTTTTTCTTAATTAGACAAAAATAAGGATTCACAATTAACAAATTTATGAAATTACCCAAGTGACAAAGACATTGAATTAAATATACTCTTACTTACTATTTATTCTCATAAGTAGATATATAAACGCAACATAAACACAAAAATCCCCACTTTTTAAAAAAAAAAAAACGGTTTAAATTTTAATTTTAAATGAAATAATATGCGTGTTGTATATTTTTTTGTTTATAATTTTATACCGTGACCAGGCTGCTGGAAGCATCGAAACTCGGCCGAAGTTAAAAATCATTTTCAAATAAGTTTAACTAAATTTTACCGTTATTTAATTTAATATACTAACTTAAATAAGATCTGCTATAGTTGATCAATATTAAAATTTTATCGTTTTATGCGTATTAAACACATATACACGGACATATGGGTATATAAGTATATTCTTAGGTACTTAAGATATTTTAAAACCTTATTTGCATACTTTACTATGCATAATAAGTTTATATATATTTTTTCCATCTCAATAGACTTTTCAGTCCCTGTGCTATGCTAACCTCTTAAATCCTTCTCCCAATGAGATAGAATAAAAAATGCTAGAAGAAATCGAATCCGTGATAGTGCGAGTTTCTCCTGGGTATGGGTCTTGCAATTGATAACGAATCTATCTTTTATGATTTTTTTTATTATATACAAAAACAAAAAGCATGGGGTTTATATGGTGGAACTTAAAGTATCATAGCAATAATAAATTAAATTTGCTTAATTTTTTAATAAACTTAACCAAATGGATTACTTAGTATTTATTTTAACTAAGACTTTATTTCTTCCTTATTCTTAAGACGAAGTTCAACATGACTCAGAGTTATAATTTGATGATAAACGCGGCTTGAACTGTTGTAAGCCTCCGAAATTATAGATAGAAACAAAAGCAGTTAATTTAAAATTTAAAACAAAATCTACTTTTTTTGTACGCTTATCTTTTTCAAAGATTAGTGCCCCCTATGTGCAGTGCACCAGGGCCTTCAAACCACTACAACAGCTACGCCACTACGATAGCTACGCAACTCGGGTCGAACCCCGGCCCATGACTATTAGCCAACATTAAATAACGAGATACTTGGTTCTTTGGGAATTAATACAAGCATTAAATTATTACCTTAATCCGTTGTGCCCATCGTAGTAAAGAGCGTTACCAATTATGTATTGAAGTAACCTAATTTGTATGCAAATTACGAAGCCCAGTAATGTTTAAGCTATTGATTCGTCTGATAGGACACGGTGTTAGTTGATTTATATCAATTGGGGCGTGACTATGAAAACGTTTTCAAATCAAAGCGAATTCAGAACTTTGATTGGCTTTGTAATGGATGTGGTTTAAGTTCGGATTTTGTATTGATAGAAAATGTATGAAAATATTTTAGTTAAGGTGTTAAACAGGTGTGAAATCTAGGTTTCTTTGTATATACCCAACAATAAAAAATACGTGACATCAATTTAATAGGAGTATACTACAGGATTGCAAATTTCACGTGGCAGATTTTCTGTCATATCTCCGTAAAGTATGGAATTACATAGAAATATGATTCAGTATTTTTTAATGGAAAACACCTAATAATAGGAAATGAAAACTCAACGAAGTGTGAAAAGAGGCGAAGAATTTAGCAGCAGCAGTGGAAAATACGTTTTAGTGAGAACGGACCCATTAATCTTATCTGGCTGTCGCTCGGATGATTCGAAAATATTAAATTGTGAAGCACAAATATAATAATTGTATATAAAATATAAACTAATTAACAACACAGCTGTTTGGTTTGAGCTGTACAGCCGTCGTAGAAATTGTTTACCGCAATTTAATTGAGATTTTTCAAAGTGTATATGTTATTATGTTATATATATGTTATTGCTTTTAATATACTCGGTAGTTCAGTTAGAGACACGCTTGCTTCATTGGGTTTTTTGGTTCGATGATTCTTCAGTTTCTTTTATTGGAAATATATTTTTATTCAACATATATGTATCTTAAAGAAGGGCTAAACATTAATTTAATTATATTAATAAATTAAAATTTAAAAACCGAAAATAAATTGAAAAATTTTTCGACTCGGGCAGGACTTGAACCGGCATCGTCAGCGTTCCGTGCTGTTGCTCTACCGATTGAGCTACTGAGTCGGTATTGGTAGAGCAACAGCACGTTCAAGTCCTGCCCGAGTAGAAAATTTTTTCAATTTATTTCCGATTTTTAAATTATATAGTGCCTTCATGTGCAATAACATGTAAAAAATAATAAAGTTTTCATAATTAAAACTTGTTCAAATAATACCTGTTATAATACATTTTTTACGATTATAAGTGAGATCAAAAACTGTGTGAATGTTGTTAACATCTTCACGAATTATCACCATTTTTTACAAAGATGTTAATATATTCTGTAAGAAAAATTAATTACAGAATTGAAAAAAACATTAAGTAAAAAGCGTTTAACTAATATAAAGCGTATTTGAAAACGATTTTAAAGTGTTTTATTTAAATGTGTACCACTCGCGTAAACTATAGACAGTATTTAATTACAGAATTTGTAACGGTTGGAATTCATAACATTTGAACTTTAAGATTTTTTAAATAAAAATATAATATAATAATGAATGCATTTTTGAAAATTTAAGTGTTTGGATCTATTCACACATGTCATACTTCATTCATCTACACAGTTTGAAATATGTAGGTATATTAGAAAAATATCAATAAAAAACGAATAAGTTGAGTATTGTCTGTAGTTTTTAGTGACCAGTGACCACAGCTGGTAGCAAAAATCTGAAATGTAAGGCTGTCTGTTCAATAAAGATAAACTAAAATATTTCGCGTTTGAGATCGTGAAATGTTTAAATTATGAGTGTCTAGTTATAATATAAACTCCGAATTATATAGGCACAAAACTTTTCTGTTACGCCGCTATTATATTAAATAGTTATTTATTAATAGATTTGTTGTGTAATAAATTAAATTTGCAAAGAAACGAAACTAACTCTTTATGAATAAACATTAACGTAAGATGGAAAGGTTCTTTAAATTGATGGTTTTCTGTAGGAAAATAGTATAGAGATTTTTATCAAATCCTTTTAAGAACCTTAGTCCCATACGCACGCAACTATAACCATAACTCTAGGCTCCTGAAATATTTAATTCGCCGTTGCTAACTTAATTCAAACATTAGAGCGAGAAGCAGATATTAAAATGAACACAACAGACAAAGAGCTAAAATGTGGCAGAGTTGCGAAATGTAAGGGCATGTTCACAGTACAGTTTTGAAAGTCTCAGGGTCGTGAGTGAATTATTAGATCCCCAAATTCTGGGGAGAATAAATTTGTAGTCAGAAATAAT